CAACTTTTGGTACTATTTTTTAATTGCCTTGCCCCCCCCCCCCCCCACCCCCGGTGGGCAGCTAACCACTTTCTTGAGTGAGAATATGTTTGTTTTTATTATCGTCATCAAGCAAGTTAGCTAATGATTGCAGACAATTTGTTAACGAAGACAAAATCATTGATATTTAAAGTTTGAAGATGAACTTCCCAACTTTAGATATCAGTATTTGTTTGACTCGCTCAGAGTTTGTTCAATCACGCTCTAACTCATTACATGGTTATAATCAACAACGATTTTAGCATGAAAACTAAGAATAACTTCATAAGGAATTTTCTTGTTTTCAGAAAACTAGGAAGCCTCTATAAATTTATTCCTTAATTAAAGTAGGACGTTTAAATGAAATCTTATTGAAAGCTCATGCTTTCAATGACGATTTATTTTCGAGGCATTGCTCATGTAAGTCATTCTCTTTCCTTAATGAATGTCAATTGTTCAATATAGAGCTTCGTGTATAGTCAAGAAATAAAACTACTTTAAAGAATAGCTCGAACTTACAATACTAGTAATAGTTCCTATGGACTTTGAAAACAAACAAAACATTCATGAGTTCTTTATCAACAGCACAAAATGTCTTGGAATTCAAATTGTACATCAGGCATAAGTTTTGATATAATTATTTACATCAAAACTGTTTCTAATACTTAAAATGAGTATATAATTGAGAGCAAAAGTTTAAAAAAAATAATAAGTGTCGAACCGGGCCGCCTTTTACGGTCCCTGATATATATATATATATATACGCATGATAATGCTATGAATGAAGACTGCCAACAGAAGAAAGATAATCCAATGTTCGTCTGTAATTTTGAAAATTTACTCTTCATTGAGATGACTTTTCTTGAATTATTGGAATCTTTATCTGTAATTACCTATGATCTCCATAATTATAATAACTCCAAAGCGTCACTTTACAGATTATACCATTAGCAAGCATGCAATTTCTGATGTTGTATTTGAAGTATCATATCAGAAATAGCTCGTTTTAGATCGCAATAGTTGCAGTTGTTTTTCTATCGTTAGTTTATTTTTAAAAGCAGAAACCTATAAAATTTAAGAATTACAGGTTTTTTTTGCTTTCGAAATCAGAACATACCTTCATATTTTATTATTTAATATGTGTGAATTTTTTCTTAAAATAAGAATACCAATGCACTACCTCTTGATGAGGTTACAGGTACTAATGTCGGCATCAATAGGAAGTCTTCGGAACTAGTGGAGACAATATATTTAGCTTATTGCAAACAATATCTAACTAGCGATGTAAATATTTGATATCAGTGAATATTTACTTTTTTTATATTGATCACATTGATAATTTAGAATGAATTAGAAAACAAACGAAAAACAGAACAATCAACCATAGTTTCGTCTGATCGGAGTACTAGTAGTAAAACTATGGAACTATTCGGTGAAAACAAAGTTGAAAAACTTTATCTGTGGTTTTTATTTATGAATCGACCAAAAATGGCCGAATTTCTTTGTTCAATATGCCAGGTAAGATGTACATTATATTCATATTCAATTTATTTTCATATCGAATTTTCTTTCAATCTATACCATATATTTCACAATTAGAATCAGACAACTGCCTGTCTTCTTGCAGTCGATATTTATTCTAAGGCAGCACAAAAGGATAAAAAAAATAGAGATACTTTAATACAAATCGCTTAGTAAGTAAATTGTATTTGGCATGTCGTTTTATATCCATGTTTAACGTACTTCTTCATAAAAACAGCGAATTCGATGAACATGCAAAAGGCATCATAGATGAATGTTTCGTTAAAAAAAGTAGCCTTGCTATTGATATTATAAATGGTAAAGCTACTGAATTTTATGACTATGCTCCATTGGTATTAGCAAAGCATGCTGATTCTAAAGCTTTTCTTGCTAGTGATACTGTTCAAAAATATCTCAATGACAAGTGGTACCATCATTTTGACGATCAACGCCAATTGTTGAATGTGAATACCTCTTTTTGGGTTTGTCAATCACACTTATAGAAAAGTCTGATAGTCTATAAAATATCTTATTTAGATCATGCTTGCATCATTCATTTTTCCTCTGTTACCAATTGCATCTTTGTTTTTTCCTTCACTCTACAAAGAATATTCTCTGAAACCGAAAGTATGACGAATTAAAAAATTTAGCATTTTATGAATTACTTTTTAATATTTGATTCTTATGTAGAAAAAAATCAATAAGTCAATTCAATGTCGTCCAATATTGTCACATGAACGGATGTAAATTAAAAATTTTTCTCAAACTTTAATTTTCAATTTTTATTCAACTTTTACAGATCAACAGACGAAAAAGCTCGGAATGAGTCCTTCCCAAGTGGAAGAAATAGAAATTCTTCTAAGAATTGTAGAATAGAATTAGGTGATCTAATGTCTAGTATGGGACTTCGAATTAAATATTTTTATGAAGCTCCAGTTGTAAGATTTTATTATTACGTTGTAAGTACATTTCTACCTGATTGAATATGAATATTACATTTCAAATTTAGATTTTCTACTTTATATTTCTAACGTTATTCAGTTATGTTCTTCTTGTCGATTATTTTCCGTTAAATCGAAACGGCGCAAAACGTTCCGGAATTCAAAATTTACCAATTCCAATTTCAGAATTTATTCTACATATTTATATGTTAAATTTCATCATCGATGAAATCTATCAGGTCAGTCTAAATGTCTTTTCGGAAAAGATAAGTTTTTTTTTCTACAACTTTCTTTTCTATATTATTAGGTATATATATCTGATAAATGGATTCATGGTTATTTCTCTAACAATTGGAATAGGATGGACTTAGCAGGCATTATCTGTTATTTAATTGCATTCATTACTCGATTTTTTGTTAGTGAATCCATTTTTGCAGCGTCAAAGTAAGGTATTTTTCTTGTTGCCTTGGGACATTTTCATCTGAATAATGTCAAATGAATATGGAAAAGTATCAATACTAGGATTCCGAAAGATATTCATCGAAATTCACTAAAACGAAATTTATCTGCCCAATCCTTAGTTGCAAGTTGTAATTATTGTCGAATGTAATAGTTCAAAATACATGATGCCTTTATCTTTTCGATTGATCCGTCATGATACACACATGTACTGAACGATTCTTAGTCGATTGACAAAGAAAATAATTAAATTTCAATTTATAAAAGAGCCTTCGAGTACAAAGTTAATGACATTTGAGCGACTATTAATACTTTGTTACATAGACAGCATATATATTTTTCGAGTCGTCATCTTAATGACAACATTAATAGGTAGATATCTACATTCACACACACAATGAGGAAACATAATGATTTTCCGTTTAGTAAACATAACCTAAAGTCAGTCGTAAGTAGCAAAGATCATAAAAACCAAATATTGCTCTCCATTTTCTCCTGAAACCATATTCTTATCTAAGCAATTGTGTGTCATTGAATAGAAACAAACTTTTTCTTATTTGAGTCTAAAAAACAGAGATGTCATAATATCCTAACACTGGGTATCGTCGACATACCAGTCACGATATCCATTCAAGGGATATCTAAAGTGGATACTAAAATGAATACCCATGTTTCTCATAGCTGAGGAATTTGAGTGCATTTG